ATGACATTGCGAATCACCATGATCCGAAATGAGCCCGGTAAGAAATTCTGGAGCTGCGGCAAGATTTCTTACCTCTCTTAGCGTATTCCCCTGGTCGAGCTATAAATGACTGCCACCTATCCTGGACCTTAAATCATCATCTTGATGACGAAATAATTAGACGATCAACTCCAACTCGAAAGTGAGGTCGCCTCCTTTCTCGACCCGCACTCCGCTGGGTTTTGGCAAAGGAGCATCAAGAAATTTTCTGAGCGTTGAAGACAAGTGGTGGACACTCATGGTAGATATATGACCGGTCAGGAGTTGTAAACAAAAAAGATAAAATTAAAATCAAAAATGAAAAAGTGTTGCAGGACTTTCTTTCCAACCTAATATTATCGTGTACGCATGACTTAATCTTAAAGCCATTGCATAAATTCGTTTGCAACGATTGCTTTTGTAGTCACTCATTGTCTTCTAGTACAACTTCCTAGTGAACCAATTATATTAAAAAGTTATGGTATTAAATTATGTTAAAAAGGATCTTTAAAAGGAAATAGTCGCTTTAGTCTAACTCAAATCCGTTTTGATGGTGGTTTAATAGTGTAATGGATCTATATTGGATCCCAAAGTTACATAATCAGGAAAGTGTCTCTGAAGTATCATTGCAGTAATGTGTCGGGAATGGAGGAAAAGGTTAGCTTTTCCTACTAGGTGGTTAGGGAATACCAAGAAAAGCATTATTCAAAACCAGTTCCGTAACATAAATCGGGTAAACTTCTTCGAAAAGTCTTTCGAGAATGAAGAGGCTACCTTCACGCTCAAGTCTGCCGCAAGTAAAAATGGGCTCAATTGTTGTTATTGAAAGGAAAACATCAGAGATGATTCATATACGCGCGCGCGCGAAATGAAAATTTTCAAATGTTTTGCATTTTTTCCCTTGAAGTGTGAGCAGGGTACCGTTTCTGTGGGGAAAACGATGGTTGCCGATCTTCACGAATCTGCACGTCTTGTTCTCGATGATATGAAATGCTTCATAGCGGATGCCGAGGAAGAAAAGAAGTTAGTTTCTCTTGTTAAGCTGAGAAGTTTATTATTTGTGTTCCTCTTTGCTAACCCTACATCGGAAAAATTAGCAACCTAGTTTCTTCAGTTTCTAAACGAAGAAAAAAAAACAAAAAAAAACTCAGTATTAGATCAAGGAAGCCATATGTTTTTTTTCACTATCGAAACAAAGCTAATATTTTGCATTAACAATTATATCTGCTCACTGAGCTACTTCCGGTGAGATTAACACTGATGGTGAGTGGAGCGGTCGCATGGTGATGCCAGAGATCTGTAGTAGTGTTAACAAACTGTCTAAGGTGAAAGACGACGTTGATTTTCTCCTAAGTATTAGGATTCTATTGGCCATTTTTTTCCGATGTGGGTTAGCGGCAAACCTTTTTCTGAGTAGTTTGTGCTTTCCTTAATGGAATGATCTCGTTCACACCAGCGTAAACCATTGAAACTGGCCGACATTTTGGTCGCTTTACTTCTTGTTTGTTTGCAGGGCTCTAGAGAGTGTTGTAAGCAGGTTCGCAGCGAGTGGTGAAGGGAACGCTTGCGTGGTAGTTGGTAAAGGAGAAAGTGGGCGTACGACCGTAGTAAAAAATGCTGTGGAAGAGTTCGAACTTAGTGCGAAGTTGATTGTCGTTAGTGTAGGTGAGTGTCATCTTGAAGATAAATTAAAGAGCTCTTTCACTAGACCAATTCATCCTCTACGTTTTTGATGCCTTGTTTTAGCTCAGCTCGGTTCCGAAAAGAACACCTTACAAATGCTGACAGATGACGAAGACGTTAAGGTTGGTCTTTATCAAGATACGTACTCTTTGCTAGCGCTCATGTAAATCAATTGAAGGGCAAATCACTCTCCCTTGAATGTGTTATGGTTGAAAGCTTCATTATTAATCGCGCTTGTTGCTGGAAAGTGGTTCAAATAAGTAGAGCATCCAATAGTGTCACTCCCAATGCTCCTAATGGTGGGGTCAAGTCGTGCTTTGCGATCTTGCTGTCTTGCATTTATCGTGGAATGGGTACGTGTGAACCTCTCTTCTGGCTGATATGCTGTCAGTGTCCCGTATCATCTCATGGTTATAAGTGGCGCGTATTAATCGCATGAATTAATAGATAAGTAGTGTACTCTACTTGAACTTCAACAGTATAATCCTACCCTAAACTCATCCCACGAACTTTTTTTGCTAAACATTCCTTATCTTCATCGACACGGTCGCTGTGATTCAGAAAACCAGTGGGAAGCTGTTTAGAGTTGTGTACTGATCATAGAGGATGCGGACGAGTTGGCAACACGTCAACGACAGTCTTTGCTCTATTTACTTCTGGATACTACAAGAAAAGGAAGCGATCACCAATGGCTGGTGTTTCTGATGGTACAAAATCAGGTGTGATTCCATGAATTCTCGAAGTAAATGTCATTGTTATTGGAACTTTTGGAAATGACGGTCAAAGAGTTACCTTGCTTTTGTGGTGCCTTATTATAACCAGAGGATTTCTAGTAGTTTCCTATTGCAAACTTTTCACTTCTATTTGAGTACTTCCATGAACAAAGCGAACCTTTTTGTTGTACGCCGCTGACCACGTTATTTTCTTTCTAATTGACCATTTTTAGAATTTTATCACATCTTTGGAGAAGCGAGTGCGGTCTCGGTTGCCCATGGCTCGTATAGTGTTCCAGCCTGCTAGCACATTGGATGAATATGTGAAGGTCTTTGGAAGCTTCCTGGGTATAGAGAGTTCGGGTACCACCAAAGGTGAATGCTTTCAACTGCTTTGATAAAACCGCTCGGTAGGCTCACAACCCTCTGAAAATAAGTATTACTCACAGTTAATCTTGTCGTTCGGAGTTTCCAATCAGTCAATTGGCAGTAGTTCCCTTTTCAATAAGTTCTCTTTACTTACAGAGTGGTCGAAGTTTGTGGCAGATTTTCTGACAGACACTGCAGTTTTGGCGGAAATGAACTACTTATTCTCGGTATTTTACCCATTTATTTGAAATTGCATACTAGTGATCTGTTCCTAAGTTCTTTTCATTTTTCCGTATTCGAGGAAGCATTCCAATTGTGCAATGTGTAATGCAGTGATCAGGTTGTTTGTAGAGTTCGACAGCTTTTTACTATGAAGTATTCAGACCGACAATTCGTATGCTGTGCTGAAGAGAGTAGCGAGTGCTTTCTTGTGCCTTTATTTGGCAAAGGACTCCTCACAACCAGTCAACCAAATCCTCACGGAGGCTGTTGAGATGATCTTGCCACGAAAACACTCATTGGAACCCATAGTCAGATGTGAGGGTTTTTGTATAAATCGAAAGCCTCAGTTTTTTTTGTGGTAAGCTTTGAGAAAACTGGTATGCTGTGGTTGTGGCTAATTACCCTCGCCTTCAAATGACCAGAAATTGTGCAATTGCAGAAATTGACGTGGCATTGGCACACGTGGCTAAATTCTCGATGAAAAGGTGACATCACGTGTGCTCAAAGATGTTCTTGATGCCACGTTAATGCCACGTCAATTTCTGCAATTGCACAATTTCTGGTCATTTGAAGGCGAGGGTACTTCAGTAACATTGCTTAATTACAATGTTTGCATCGTCGTCGTAACATGACGTGTTGACCGCGTATCTTTCTGTAAAGAAGGTTTATGCGAAGTGAATTTCAGCTCTATCTATGTGGTCGTTGTGCGTACTTCTGTGCGTTTATCGCCGACTGCGATCGTGTCCGGTTTCTGCTGCCTTAGGATACAGGAAAATTGCACAAGGTATCGACAACTGTTAGATATGCATATAAATAAATTCTCAATTTTGAGGTACTTACTTTTTATTTCGATGGGAGCTTCAATTTCATTATGTCTCAATGCAGTTGAACCAACATATCTTTACGAAAAAATCACCACAACACTAGCAAGACTGAGTCGAGAGAACTTCCGCAGCCATTTTTGCGCATTTACCCACCCTTTTTTATGCAGTAAAATGATTATTCGCCATAAACTTCATAGTGGACTATCTTTCATGTACGGTAGTGCTATGGACGTTTTGAAATATGGAAAATGAAGGCACAAATAAAGCAAAACTAGTCGTGAAAAATGAGTGCGGGACAGGACCACCCCAGCCCTCCCCGCGCCATCGTCAGTGGTTTAGCGGGAGGTTAATTATGAAACGGAGACCAGATGGATTATGAGGTCCCGATATTCATGACGTTCTTGTGAGTTCAAAAAATAAGATCTCCTTCTGCTTCTGGAAGTTGAATCGGTATATTAGGCAGAAGTCAGATTTTGCAACTAATAGCTAGCGAATCAGTTGCGTTCATTGGTCGCTCAACTCGTTGGGATTCAAGCAATTCGAGCGATGCGCCAGCGAGTTCAGGTTTTCATACTGCGTCACCATCGCGATTCGCTAACGATGGTGCAAAGTCTGGCACCTAGCTTGTGTCGCAGCGTATCTGAGGATTTTTTCAAGAACCTGCAAATAGTTCACATCGACCTGCTTGGAGTTTTTGAAACCGTACAAGGGACAAGGGCTTTTTTCAAATTCTCATCTTTCGTCATTTCATCCACATGCTCTCTAGAGATAGGAAATGCTGAAAGTTTCTATATTGTTAGTCACTGTCTTTTACATGGCTTTCGTTAAGCACAAAGTCTGCGAAGACTTCCGAAAAGCTATGACGCTCAAAGACCAAGCCGTGATCAATAAAAAGGTCTGCTGACAATGGCTGCATATGAATTGTGGGCAGAGCTACAGCCAACTGAAGATATACCACATTGAAAGCAGGGTGAAAATCGTGTCGAGTACGTGGTCGCAGAGGTACGACCCCCCCCCCGAAATCGAGATCCTGGCACGACCCCCTCTAACAGAGCAAATTAATTCAATTAAAATAAATCCTGCAAAACAAATCAAAAAAAATTCTGCAAAATAATGCTAAGGACGCTTCATCTTGTCATCTATGCACGTCTTCCATCGCTGCATACTTTTGTGTACATACTGAAATATCGACTCGAGGAAAGAGGCATTAACTTTGTGTGACCTCAAGGCGAGGTTCGTTCAGAAACGCACAGAAATCCTGAAGACACGGGGTTGCGATTCAATCTTGATTCTTGCTTGAGTATATCAAAACAGCCGAGTGTATCAAAGGCCGATTCAACGGCAGCTGCGGCGCGATTGTCACTGGGTCAGATTTGCCGAAATTTCAAAAAAAAACGTCCGAATCTACACCCTCGATGAAAAGGTTGCATTCCTCCATTTCACAACCTTTGAAGCAGCTTGAGGTAGAGTTAGATAGAGCTGGATTTCGCGTTTCCAACAAGCATCGAAATTGCTCTGGAAGCCTTCCTTGCAGAAAGATAGGGTCTGTCAAATTTCGTCGAGTAAATGTCGAGGAGGCCCAAATTTTCACGCGAGTTTTTGCCACTTCAAGAGCAATATATCTCTTATATTGTAAGATCCTGAAAAAGGGAAGATAGTTTTGGAAAGCGGAAGGTTTGCGCTTCCTGATGGTCTGTTTAGTTTTCTTCTACAGCTTTTTGGTTGAAGAGATAATTGCGTCGAGGATCTATCGAGGTCGGATCCGGCCACCTGGAAATCCGCTCCCTCATTCACCATTGCAAGTGTGACTCGTTGGCAACACTCGGAATGTGTCTAGAACAATATCTTTGAACGCAAACAATAAGAATAGGAGCAATCGTCATCATCCGATTTTGGTATTGGTATAAGCCATGCATCCCTCCTCCACTCACAGTTGCAGAATCGATTGAAAGGTGTTATATGATGGGGACCTTCGAACGAAACTGTATTGTAGTAGACATAGTGTGTTGTGCTATTCCTGTAACCTAAAAAACAACTTCATTTGCCCAGCGCTTTTTCTTCACGGTTGTCGTTTTTCCGACAGGGTCCCTAACAACAGCGTCATTCTCAGCGAGGTATTAAGGGAGAAGGAGCGAGTGATAGGCAGAGGAGGTGCCTTTGCAGCGCGTGCGCACATGTGGCACTCTTCTTTGCGGGGATGCACTTTCATTCTTTGTACTGCCTTCAAATACGCCCTTCTCATGAAGGTGGAGGAATGGAGCGACTGAACCTGCAAAGAAAATTTAATATCATGTTTTTTTTCGGATGTTTTCATTTTCTGCTGCGCTATACCCTATTACCTATCTGCACCATGATACCACTTCTGTTACTGACCCCCAAGAGTACGACCCCCCATGGACCAGCCCAACAGGTACGACCCCCCTGTCGAGGATTTCCTCGACCGATATTCACCCTGATAAGAATCTTGAAATGGTGGATCTCGCAGCCCTGAAAGGCAAACTGTCTTGCCATGACCGTTGTTGATTTGAAGGGCAATGCTTAAAGGTATCAGCTGTTAATTGGCAATCCCAGTGGAATACGAATTAGAGGCTGCGAGTGGACCAAAAGAGTGGAGACAAAATGAATAACTTTCATCAAAAGACAGAAAATACAAATCTCTCTGCTCTACGCTAGAAGTCAATTGTGAGAGCATACAGCGAAGTAGGGTAGTTATGTATCGCGGAGAAGGGAGAGGACTTTCTAGTCGAAAGAGCACAATGGTGAACCAATACGACACAGAGTAGTCAGTATCTCGAAGTCTGATTGGGCGTGTCACCGGAAATGACGTGGCAGCCACCGCACTTGATAGATGTTGTGTGGATAAAATACTCCGCCAGATATCAGCAAAGCGTGTTGGAAGCAGCTTATCCGCGCAACTTCTATCAAGTGCGGTGGCTGCCACGTCATTTCCGGTGACACGCCCAATCAGACTTCGAGATATCGACTGTATCAAACGGTGGGCGGTACTTGTTGCGCGACCGCCTAGCCCGCCACTACTGGGGGGGGGAGGGACTTCCTCAGCGAGGCTGCTCCGACCTTTGCCTTCAAAAAGCAGTGTTTCCCTGGGCGCCCATAATTCACATCCTTCAAGCAATGGGGGTTTTGCAGGCTGGAACGACCTATCTCACACGAGCTATGTGAAGCACACAACTGGGAATACGCTGGAGCATCTGACAAAACCTTGTTGTTCAGAAGTTTTCAATGGGGATTGTTGAATGGTCACCGGGGATGAGAAGTAGACAGTGTACGCAAGCAGCATACAGAGGCGTCGATGGATGGATGCAGTGGAGTGGAGTGCTGAACTGTGAAAGATGACCATTTACTGCTCTGCGTTACTCACTATTTGGTCAAAAACATCACTGGCAACATCCACGCGATACGGTCTTGATCATAGTCGGCGTCAGTTTGCTCATCTCAAGCCATGCGATTGAATCGATCATGATCGCGCAGTTTGCCCTCGTCAGTCGTGCCCAATAATTTTTCGTTGGATACGGGTGCTCCCTGGCGAATTCAAGTCTTCAAGTACACAAGGCAAGAGTGCGCGACCGCGAGACCTCTTTGCCCTGCAACTTTTTAAATCGAGAATCCTTCCTGTTGAACTGCCGCGCACTGTCGCCGAGATCGGGACATCGGACTATTTGAAATCTTGTCAAAAGAGAAAAAGTGTGTTTTTTCGAAAATTTGGGATCATATCCGCAGTTAATTCCACGGTACAACCTAATACTTTTCGATTAAGCGTTGTTGCTGTCTCGTAAACTAGTTCCAGCATTTTCTGGGGGTTATTGAACCTGAGTTCCTACAGTTGCGCCACTTTGCAGATTTTCGACGTATTGGAAACACTGTGGACAGCCGTGTACGTGTACCGTCCGATTTGGCTGTGTATAGAGAACTAGATCGGCTGGTTGATTATGGACTCTTGGTAGCAGATTCAAAGGCAAATAATGTGGTATTCAGGTAAGGTAGCCACTCTTTTATTCTCATATGTTATTTGCAGATCTCTAAGAAAACTGAAAACTTGGATTTTGAAGATTTGCAGCATTCTGTAGATAAACGAATAGTTAGAGCTAATTACCATTGCGAATCATGTCCTAGTGGGTGAGCATTGTCGGAAAACAGCGCATTGTCTAATTATATGTACTGTCGATTGAATGTGAGTGCCACTATCAGTTAGATCACGCTGTGCACATATGACAATTTACTGGAACAGCTAGATTGAGAGTCCAGTAATTCAAATTCTATTGGTTTTCGAATGATATTTCTTGTAGGTTATCAGAGTTTCAATTAAGGAATGTATTAAGTGATCTACCCGGTACCCTAGCGGTACTCTAATATTACCATGTTTTCTTGTTACAGTGGTGACTTGTTGAAGCGCCTTATTTCATTTTCGTAAAAGTGTATCTGTTCACGATCAAAATCATCAAAACAAAGAAGTGGGAAAAGTTCTTGCACAAGTGTTCTCCCCGTAAACCATCCCGAAGAAGCTTTTTCACATCTCTCATTTTCCAGACAGTTAATCAGCTTTCAGGAGATGTTCATTGAATGTGCATTCGAAAACGCTCGGTGAAATACTACGAGGTGTCACTTTGCCTATGGCTATTGGATACTGGTTCGATACGCAAACTGCATGAAGATCTCTCGGTATTACGTGCTTTATTAATAGCCCATATGGTAACTGGATAAGATTAAGAGTGGGAAAGGGATAAAAATATGAATAGATTTCGGGCATGGCCTGACTAGAAAGAAGTGCTTGACTATTTTCCGCAAATCACTTAAATGTAAAATTTGCTTACTAAAACTCAACATTGAAATATTTGCCTCCACTAAAATTCATGCTTACTGCAGGTTGCTTTTAATTGAAAAAGCTGACTTATGATGATTACTGCTTAATGATCACTCGGAACCTTCTTTGTGATGTTGGCTCGACAGTCCAAGCTTGGACACTAGCACGTTTTTTTTTACACTGTTCTTGGAACGTGGTTGCAAATTTTACTCGTGCACCACCCGCCCAAAAGTAAATGTTGCGTTATGTCTAATGTAGGTGAGTAGTGGGAGATTTGGAGTGTGCTCAGCCCACAATTTGGTTCAATTTTTTCTCGATCTCGAGGCCGCGCTAGACCCGTATGAGTTTTCGCACTAGGCAGATTCCATTTGTTGTGTGCTCCCTGCGAAGTCGATCCCGTATCCCGTACGCAGACGGCCGGTCTTATCCCATTTTTTGCGGCGCCTTAAACTTCCGATTTTTTTACGGTTTCTGACTTTTGGCTCGCCATCGTAGGTGAAGCTGTGTTCATGATAAATTTTTTTCGCGTGCAAACTGCTATGCTACTGCTTTTGATCTCTGCTTACCGCTTTCTGCTTTTTTGCTTATGCATTATGTTCTAACCGCTTTCACTATCCGCGGTATATGGAATTCTTTCTGTACGATCGCATATTTTTTCAAAGAGCTTTTTGATACTGTTTAAAGGATTAATTTCCATTGTCATTTGTTATATCAATGTCTCCTTCGTACTGTTTTTCTCGATAAAATCTTGATTGTTTGAAAAAGATAGAAGCTGATGTCTGAAGCCATATGAGGGAATTATTATGGTTGTTACCTTTCCGTAGCTCCTTTTCGTCTTTCGTAGAACTGTGTGCGGTTGAGTGATCACCTGCTTGACAGTGCTAGTAAAGTTATAGGCATAGATCCGCATTCACCTAGTTACGTTTATCACACTCGAAAATAAAGCTGAACGTGGAAACTGGACCAGTAATCAAAAACAAAAACAGTTTGAAATCAATAGGAGCTTCAATTCCTGCAGTAATGGCGAGTCTGCGAGACAAAGGCAGATGGTTTGAGATAAACTGGCCATCATGCCGGGAAAGCGCAGGAGTGAAGACGCAGGTATGAAGCATTTGCAGCCAGGGTGAAAATCGGTCGAGGACTCGCTGACGACTCGTCGAGGATTTTCACCTGTTTAGTGACGCTCTCCCCGCGGGAACAAATCAATGTCTTGGCCACTTGTGATCGCCGTCTGTGCTCTCCGTGTAGCAGCATTAACTCTAGTAAGCCCCGCGTCGATGTCATGTAGAAACTCCTCCGCTCGTGCAGTGTGATCGAGTACACCTTAGAAGCTAAAAACTAACTAACTAGAACGTAAATTTGCCTAATAGGAGCTAACCAGGAAGGTCTTTCAGGGCGTGACAAGCTTTTTGAAAACGGTCTTTTGCATGATATAGGGGCAGATGCGGGACCACAGAACCATGTTTAATTTTTCCTGAACGGCCCTCTGAATACCAGAAAAGGGGGTCCCTAGTTCGATTCCTCTTGGTGACAAATTTTTGCATTTCGAGTTGACGTTCCAAAATTCGCGCAAAAAGTTCTGATTGTTCTGGTTGGTTCTAACTCCATTTTGCGCGAATTTTGGCACGTCAACTCGAAATGCAAAAATTTGTTACCACGAGGAATCGAACTAGGGACCTCCTTTTCTGGTATTCAGAGGGCCGTTCAGGAAAAATTGAACATGGTTCTGTGGTTCCCGCATCTGCCCCTATATCATGCAAAAGACCGTTTTCAAAAAGCTTGTCACGCCCTGAAAGACCTTCCTGGTAAGGATCGATCACCGAAACGGCTTTTATTTTTAGCGGTGGCGCCACCTGTCGCCAGTTGGCGTCACCTTGTCACGGACACCTGCTTTCACCAAATTTGGTGTAAACTTACGAAAAGGGGGTTATCTGGTGCCTTGATTACGAGTATGATATCAATCTTGGGGCGCTTGTTTGGCGCCTATTTTTTGCTCATCTGCGCCTCTCCAATCATGCCAATGTGCGTCTGCAACCAACGTTATGCCAAAAATGAATGTTGTATCGTAATCACGGCACCAAATAACCCCCCCCCCCTTATGTAGAAGTTAACAACAATTTTTCTTGAAAACTGCTGTCGTGACAAGGTTACGCAAGATGGCGCCACCGTTAAAAGTGAGTGCTGTTTTCGTAATCAATACCCTCGAAATCGATATGGCGACATTAACATTTGTGATGTGACGTGGGTGTTCGTAGGCCGGCCTGTCACGAGGGCCTGTCGCCTGCATTCGAATGTCCGTGGTCAGCTCAGCTCACAAAGGTGAGCAGTTTCCAGTGGCACCCCTTGGAGGAACGGACACCGCCACCCGTGATGCTCGCTAGCGAAATAAAAGCACGCTCGAGCAACAGGTGCAAACCTGGTCCGACCGTCTGGCTATGTTCGGACTCAGGTTGAACGTCAAAAAGACAGAGTACTTGACCACCGATCCGAGTGAGCCAGGCTCTATTAAGATCAATGGTACTGAGCTCACACGTACAACATCATTCAAGTATCTTGGATCAGCAATCGCGTCTGACGGCAGCCTGGTCTTCGAAACGAATTCTCGCGTGAATGCAGCCTGGTCGAAATGGCGCTCGATGACTGGCGTTCTCTGCGATAAAAACATGCCAGAACGTCTCAAATCTAACAAGGGAAGGATACCAAGTCGAAGTGGCCATCCGTAATGAAACCTATACTCAGAGATGTGTTTTCGGACGCTGATCTCGAATCCACTCTCCAAATTTGCGAAACGATTCTCTGAAAAGTGTTACGGAGGTTGTTTCGAATGAAAGCCCACTGTAAGAGACTCCGGCAGAGCTCGGCTTCCAGCGGCGGCTTGGCCGAGTGGTAGTGTTGGCGGCCTTGCAG